TTTTTTTCCTTCTTTTTTTCGTTTTTTTTTTCCTTTTTCCTTTTCCCCCCACTTTTTTACGACCGTAGGATTGTTGTGATAAACGGAAGGATGTGTGGAGAGGCTTTCATCGGAAGTCCACGATTCCCGGTGGGGGGCGGGCTATATTAGGACTTGGCGCTGGCGGTACTGTTCATCGGTCCACCGTGCGGTAATTGGTTCTGACAGGTGGTAAGGGCATGGTGCGTTTTAGTGTTGCGGGTGCTTGGTGAGGCGACGTGCGACATGGACTTCTTCGACGACTGGGACCAGGTGGAGGAGCAACCGGAGGCGGAAGAAGCAATAAAGATCCGGGCGTGAGGCTCTCTCATCATTTTTCTGCCGCCCCGACCGCACCTCAACTCCACGTGCAAACCGATGCCATATGCCACGCGGGGCCTGCCCTGCTCTCCCCAAGCTCGATCACACCAACGCTAGGCGCCTGCCTGACCCTCCTTTTTCTCCTCCCCTTGCTCCACCTCGCCATAGCATGCTTGCTCTCTGTCGCTTGGCTCTCCGAGAGAGTCTTTCTGTGCGCCTCCTCTAGGTGCTTTGCGCTGCTGATCACGTGCACCATCAGCTTCATCTCCTTGTTTCTGACTTGCTGCTGCTGTCTTTTCTTTACGATTGGTGCTGCTCGCGGATTGCACATACTGGTTGAGTAGCGCGCGGCGTGAGCGATGGAGTCGAAGATCGCAACGGGGACGTCTCCTCACGTGTTTTTAGTTTTTTTATCCTTCCTATCCTTTCCCTTCTTCCTCTTCTTCATACACTCCCTCCCTGCTCCCCCACCGCCTGGATCATGTCCCCCCCTTCCCCCGTCCCCGACCTTCTCCCCCATCCCCATGACCACCGCCCCCACCCCCCCTCGCCACACTCCCCCTCGCACTTCCATACCCCCTCCACCTTCCAAAGACCATGGAAGATGTCCCCCCCCTGATAACGCCCCAAATGGCATGGGGTAGAAAAGCGCTTCAGGGATTTGCCATGCCCTTCCTGCGATTCGGCGAGATAGTCCGTGCGGAGACAGGAGTACGTTGGGCCTGGAGGATAGAGCGGAAGCAGGATCTTCCTTTCCCCGCCCCCCCATTCCCCCTATCTCGCCCAAGGACCCCTCCCCCTTTATCTCCTCTCTTTCCCCCTGCTTTCTGTTAGTTGGAGGATTACATGATTGGTACATGGCAACGGGGAATACTGTGGCAATGATTGTTTTGAAGCGCTATTGAACTTTTTGCAAATATCGTGTGAAGTGTTTCCCCTCTTATTCTGAAGTGTTTCCTGCTCTTTTTTTGAATGATTGTACTTTTCATGTTGTATGCTTGGAAAGGCCTGTGGGGGAGATGTTGCATCTATGGGCTCGCCGGGGGATGTATGGAGGGTCTTGCTTTGTCTTTACTCTTTTTCCTTCTTCCTGCGTCTCCTTCCCTCTCCGATCTTTTTTCTCCTCTGATCTTTCTTCGTCCCCCACCTTTTTGTTTTTTCTTTTTTTCCCCCATCGTCCTCGCCTCCTCCCTCTCCGCCTCTTCCCCCCGTTCGTCCTCCTAGTGATCTTCCTCTTCTCCTCTCTTTCTCCCTCTTCCTCCTAATATATGAAAAAAGGGGGTTACGATGTCGGGGTAATTAGATGCATATTCTGTGGGAAGGATCATGCATGGGTGTGTCGAATGGAATGACTTGAATGTGAATATGCTGAACATGATGATTCCTCAAAAAAAGGCAGGCCCTCGCCCTCCTTCCTTTTTCGTCTTACGCTCCCCTTGCGAACCCACTTATCTTTTGCAAAACCGGCTTGTCTCGCCCTCACCGCAAATGGACACACGATTGGGCCTTACCCTACCGCGTTTGCAAATCGCCCCCGCGCCTTGCCTTTTGCCTGCGGTGTGTCGACATGGTCGGAGCTGTGCGGGTATGACGTGTCGTGCCCGTGCGCAACCCATGTTACACACACATGCTACACACTCAGGAGGACAAGTTCCTCAAGCGCTGTTGGGGGGTGCCCGCCTTGACCGCACCGCAGAGCCTTCTTTGGCGTCCACTGAATGTCGTTGCGTGGACATGGGTGATAGTTGTGGCCATAGGGTACGCCTGCGCTCGTCTGAACGATTGGGGGTATGTTAGCTGTCCTGCCGACGTAAAAGGTGCGAATTCAATGGTGCGATGTGATGAAAGTAAGAGGATTTGGTGAACATGCCTCCCTTTCTTGCCAAGCCCCTGTAATCCCTCCTGACTTAACTTTGCTCATCGGATTGTTCCATGTCCCTTGTTTTGTTTGTTTCTTTCCCCTCCTCCTCCCTTCGCAATAATCCTCTCTCCCTTACGGATCCTCCCGACTCTTCTCCTATTCTTGTGTGATATCTTCGTGGTACCTCCTTCCCTCATTCTTGTCCCACCTTCTTATGCCATATGATCTCTGTTGTGGATGACCGTCCCGTTTCGCCACTATACCGTGCGACTCTTCCTTCACAAATGCGCATCCGCCCCCCAAGGAAGCCGACCGGGGAGGATGGTGGAACGAAATCACACACCGCCTCCCATGGTTAAAGGGATGCGCCTCCCCTGCGAAACCCATGCAGGCATTGCTCACCTATGTCAACCCCGGGGTCACCGATGCTATCAAGACGAAATGGGATACAGGGCGATTGCCCCACTTTTTTGAGATGCTAGGCTTTAGCGACCTTGTTGTCCTTGCGGGCGCCTGGGACCGAGGTCGGCGCGAGTTCGATGACGAACTGGAGGTTCTTGGCGAGAAGCTAGAGTTGAGAAAAGTTGAGTATGTTAGAGAGTGCAGGGAGCTCACGGGTAGATCGACGAAGGTCGAACAGATCTTTCTCAAGATCAGGGGGGTGGATGACTCCCACCTGGAAGGTCGAGTTCCCGAAACCAGGGCAAGCGGTCCTGCTGACACCCAGGGCGGCCATGCCGCGCTATGTGGTGACCTTGCGATTGAGGAAGAGGAGAGAATGGAGATGGAGGGCGCGATAGCGGCCATAAAGGCCACCACCTTGGATCCGTCGCCCACCTCCAGCGGAAAAGGCGGCGACACCTTGGAACGCGACCAATATACAGCGTTCGTGCCCCTGGCACTCGCTTACAGGGTCGAACACACCTCTACGGCCTTTGGGCACGCGATTTGGAAGATGGACACCTTCAACCATCTCGCACCAATCTCTGTCCGAGCACTCCAGTTCTTGGGTGGCGTCACGGAAGAGCAGGTGAAGCAGTGTAGGGCGCAGATCCTTAAAGGGAAACTGAAGTATTGTGGTAGGGTCAGCCCTCTGGATCCCCAGGATCTGAAGTTTCCTCCCATGTGTGAGCTTGATCTCGATAAGTGTGGGGATACAAACTCTGGTATGTGGCAGAAGGGCATCAGGCAGGAAGGAAAACATGATCTCAGGACCTTGAGGAAGGTATGGAGTGTAGGCAGGCCATACCTAAAGTGCAAATGCAAGAAGGACAAGAACAAAGACTGCGGGGATACCCCCCTGTGGTTTGATCACGTCATCTGGTATCTACTTGCGCACCCGGACATCTTCTTTCCCAACATGTCCTCGATCAAGATCCGCATTTCAATGCTCATACACTACCTTAGGACGACGTGGAGGGACGGGGTGCTGGCGGCCATTGGCTTCCATTTCCTTAGGGACCTGATGATGGGGTACGCCAAGGAACTCGAGGACAATCCAACCCTGAATGCGGAAAGTGTCCTGAAGGAGGAGCATCTTTGGACCTATCCAATACCGGCTGCACTAGCGCGCATCATGCTCCCCTGCTCCCCACTAGGATTCCCGAGGGACCAACCAGGGTCCCGCTCAGCTCACCATGATCATCGACACGAAAGAGAAGTGGAGGGGCGCAGGGTCCGCACCAGACCACACTCAATTTTCGAAGGACGCAACCTGTCGGCGACGACCTGCTACCGCCTCCTCCCCCTCCTCCTCCTCCTCCCTCACACCACCAGCCTGCTAGGTCCACCAATCATGCGACACCGACGATAGAGGCTTTGCAACTAGGCAACTTCATTTTCAACACACCCCGGCCGGGGTTCGACAATCACCTCCACCGCCGGCCGCTTGGTTGTCGGTCCTTACCCCCTTGCTCCCTTCCATCCAACAACCTCTCATGGTTATCAGGGGGCTTACTCCTGCACCCGTCATTCACATTTCCCCGGAAAGCTTCGCGCAGTCTACACTCACCCGGACTAGTAAGGGCAAGAGGAAGAAGAACCGGGGAGGCACGACGAGAGGTGGGGCTGCCGCGGCCAGACGACCCTCGAGGGCATAATTGCACGCAGCCGCCTCTCTCCTATATCGACCTATTCCGTAGTTCCCTTGTACCCTATTATCCCAGCCCGCCTCCCTACCGTTCCCACTTGCCTCCTTCGCATGATACACCTGCGTGACGTAATCCTTTCTCTCTCTCTCCCTCCCTCCCCCTTTTTGTTTGCCTCTATGCTCTACCTCCCCAACACACTCCATGTCTTGTACCTGTGTGCTTCCAAGCGCAGGATCCGGACGGATGGGTCAACGCCCAAGCCAGATGGTTACACTACCAAGCGGCAGAAAGACATGGAGGAGGCAGAAGCCAGAATGTGACGCCTTCCTGCACCTGAAGTACACTAGCCGTGTAATGGAGTCGATATCCGTTAGGAAGCTTGTAAACGGGGTTCTCAGCTGTGTATATGCCCGTACGTATACGGGCCGTACAAAATCCCATACGACCGTCCGTACGAGCCCCTATACCCCCGTACGGGCCGTACGTATGGAGTTCGGGCCCCCCGTGCGTGGCCTTCCGGGGGGGGGTTGGGCGGGTGGATGAGCCGAGGGGGGTTCGGGTGTCGGGGGGTACCCCTCCATTCAAAAAAAAAAAAAAAAAAAAAAAAAAAATTTTTTTTTAAAAAAAAAAAAAAAAAAAAAAAATTAAAAAAAAAAAAAAAAAAAAAAAATGATCCCTTTTTTTTTTTTTTTTTTTTTTTTTTTTTTTTGA